TTCCTTCCCTTCAAAAGCACACCTGCATTTCGTTTCCTCTTTGTTATTTAAATTTTTAATCCACAGCGGGATTTTACAATAATAAAAGAATTGCTTTACTTAGCATTAGAAAAAGCAAAAGTGAAAGGGGATTCTGGTACTTGCGGTCAAATGACGCCTCATACAAATCGCCCAATCACAATACATCTGCTGCATCAGTCACGTTGTTTCACAAACCTGGAGCGACCCGATCATAAATATAAATGGTAGATATCGGTGATACTGTAAAAACAATAACACAACACAACACAGCAACATACGCAGACGAAGTAACATGGCAATAAGCACCTTTTTTCCTCGGTCATTCGGCCCATTATTTTCCAAGCTCATCCCCAGGGTCTTCCCCTCGACGATTTTGCCAATTTCGTACCAGCTGGACTAGGGCGAGCACAAAAGCGAGGTCGGCTGTGTCGCCATTTGTATCTGATCAATTTGAGCTTATGCCTTTGTTTATTCCTGCCAGATTGTTGTAGTTCGGCTTGAATTTTGGCCTTCAACATGGCCATGATTGCTAGCGCAACAGGTGTGTCAGGAAAGAGGAAAGAAATCTACAAATATGACGCACCGTGGACAATCTATGGCATGAATTGGAGTGTTCGACCGGACAAGCGATTTCGGTTGGCGTTGGGAAGCTTCGTGGAAGAGTACAACAATAAGGTGCTTACATTTAGACTTCCGATCGATAGCTTCCTCTGAGCTGATTACAAACTGTAATATTGTACTTCTTCTTCAGGTTCAGATTATTTATCTCGACGAGGAAACTGCTGAATTTGTGGTGAGAGCGACGTTCGACCATCCGTACCCCACCACGAAAATTATTTGGATACCAGATAGTGTAAGTTGGTCGGTTTATAGTCTACATTCAATTTTGTGAATTCCTTTTGTGCGCGGTGCGACTACAGTCCACAATGTTCGGTTTGCGCCGTTTCACAATGGCCGAATTTATACTAAAAACGGATCATCCTTTCGGCGAGTCCCTTCCGCTCCGTCTTACTGTGGACGATTCATCTGGACGGATGATCCGTCTCTTTGCGGGTGTTTAGTGTTTACACGAACGAATTCTCAGATGAACTACCGTTCTTTGCCCAAGTTCATCCCAGATGGGTGATTCGTCTCTAGAATAAACTCTGCCAATGTCTCTGAGCGAGGTAATTATACCTACAGTGTACATATTACATTGTATCTCTAAGCTTATGAGCTTACCTCAGCCCACATACTACATGTTAGCTTATATACTGTGCATGTTGCTTGGTAAAAAAAATTGAAGTTTCCAGGTAGGTAAATGCTTGCAAAATAGGAGTTGTGATTTCTTATCCAACGAACAATTCCACAGCCAACAAAATGGAGCTTTTAATCTTAATAGAGGAGTTCACACTTTAAGGGGAATTATGGGTAATCAGGGCAAGATTGTATTTCCGTTCTGAATTTCATTTTCGGGAAGAAACGTTTATTGTAACTAGAGAAACCCCTTTTCTACATTTACGAGCATTTTTGAGTCGATTGAGCTAGGCATTAGCCTACTGTACTTATCAGAGTAATGGAGATGCTATTTTTGTGGCTTGAGCAGCTGCACTTCATCAAATCATTCGGTCAGAAGGGAAATATAAAGGTAAACATTTGTTTAACGGCTTTGCTGCTTTGGAAATTTGCCCTGATTTACTGATAATGCCCCTTAGAGTCTAAACTCCTCTATTGGACACTAGAAGGTTGCGTGTTACATGTACATTTTCAGCTGTTAAAAACAGCTTGAGCACGGCAGAACTCCTATTTGACTTTGTTGTCTGCCTGAGTTGTCATTTTTTTTGGAGTCATTACTGTGCTGTTGTAAATGGGCATCATACAGATTCAATTGACAAGAATTAGAATTGAAATTACACGCAAGTTACATGCCTCTACAGCTGTACATGTGTTATAAATGTATTTTACCCGGGGTAATCTATCAATAAAAATCGCTATCGGAAAACCACTCAATATATCGATATCAATCGATAAATTAAATTTCAGTGTTATTGATCAATCAATAAAACTCTACATGCATACTCACATGCTGGCAAAGATTCGAAGTTATCGGTTTTATCAATTTCGTAGATGTACACTACAATAAAATTAAGATCAATAAGTAAATTTCAGAATCACAGTTCTACACATTCAAGTCCAGGAGTTCATTCTCAGGAGGAAAGTAAATTTATGAGATGCCACGTTATGTTTTTAGGATAACTACAGTTTGTATGCCATTTAATTTTGTGCCTCTCACCTGCAACATTCCTCTTCAAGTTATACATGTAGCATTGTTATACAAGTTATACATGTTTCAAGACCAAGTTTTTACCTTGAACTAGCCAATTTTTCAAACCGATATTTGCTTCCCTTGGAGGTTCGAAACATCAGGATTCCACTGCATGAATGGGATGACAGTAAATATCATGATATCTACCGTCCTCTGTACATTTAACTTTTTCTCATTATTGAACTATCATTATTTTTGTCAGACTTAAGAAAAGTGCAGCAGATTTTATTGATAACTGTTTAAGGAAGGTGTTAATAGCGGTTTTGCCAGCTTGTTTATATCTTCTGACGTTTTCGTTTCGACAAATTCTAGAACCAATAAATTCAATATTTATCGCCAATAAAATCGTTAATGCTAAGTGAAAAATCGATAATTCTCGATTACTCACAGAGAATCCTTTTATTGTCACTTTTTATCGATTTTCAATATCATTGACTTACATGTGGTTTTATCGATTGTTATCAAATATTATCGATTATCAGTTTTATCGATAGACTACCCTGGGTATCTTACCACCCTCACCCCCTCTTCCATTATTGCTTACGTACACAGGAAAGAAAGTAATAAAGCCTTTCAGCAGACTAGGAATCATGTACTAGTCCTTTGAACAGTCGTCATCACTAGCTCAGAAAGAATTCAAAATTAGAACAGCAATTTGATTGCTCACAGTACTTCTATTATTGTATTTTTTCAAATTTTTCCCCCAAAAAAACTTCACTTGCTTGTCGATCATTTGAAGGGAACATGTACATGTAGGTTTACCAGCCATTATTTCACCTTGGATTTTGAACTTTTTTTCTCTGTGATCAACACTGTACAATGTGGATGCTTCCCTTACAAAACATGTTACAGAGGTATATGTACATTGTAATTAGTCTTGGTGCAGTGTGTAAACATACATGTACATGTATGTACAAATGATAGTATTGAAGTCAAGTCGTTGACCAGTATTTACATGTATTCCTAGATGTGCATAACGTGTACACCATTGAAAATGTTTTGTATCAACATCTCTAACAGAAAGGCGGGTATCCTGACTTGGTAGCAACATCGGGAGATTACCTGCGGGTGTGGAGAGTCAGTGACTCTGATGTGCGTCTGGAATGTCTGCTCAATAATGTAAGGCTTTTGAATGTGTTTTGGCTGAATAATCAGTGATGTTACTTAAATATGTTTAAGTGTAATGAGCTGCAAGCAAGTACAGCCAATTAGGAGGACATGAACAGTGTCCATGTATCTGTTCACTATTAGAGAAAAATTACTTAAGAAAAATGTAATTCTTGCAGCTCCAGTTTAAGTCTTTTTCCATGTATTTTAATGTGGTGTTGGCAAGCCAAGTGAACATAGTGTAGAATTTAAACAATTGATGATTTAGACTATCAATACTTACAGGTACATGTAACACTACTACATGTGTACAGTTGTGCATAATTACAGTCGGTAGCCTGCAACAACATTTACAGAGATGTTATGTAATTTTTGCTGCACTCTGGAAAAAGTAATGGATTGTGATTCAAAAAAAGTGGACAAGTGTGAAGGAGTAATGGATTCTTTGTTTTCACAGAATAAGAATTCTGATTTTTGTGCTCCACTGACGTCTTTTGATTGGAACGAAGTGGATCCAAATCTGTTGGGAACATCAAGCATTGATACGACATGCACGATATGGGGATTGGAGGTACTTGTATTTAGATACAACATGGCTTTGGTCATACGGTTTAACTTATTTTTATCTACTTGTTCTTTCCTAATAAATAATCATAATAAAACTAAATTTTTACTGTATGTGGCATTTTCTTCATTTTCATTCTGCAGGGTTGCAGGTTTTCTCTAACTTTCAACAATTCCATTCCATTTACAGACATACAAGATGACACATGTCTTAATTCTTTCCTTTGTACATGTATGACAGCTCTTACAGCTTTGCACAACTGTAGCCCTGAGAGATTTGTTGAATTGTTAATATTGTGCAACATCGTCAAAAAGGTTCATTCTGCTACCCTGCATCCAATACATGTATTAACAGAGTGTATTTTATTATGAATAACAGACTGGTCAAGTTCTTGGAAGGGTGAACATGGTATCAGGACATGTCAAGACACAACTCATTGCTCACGATAAAGAGGTGCGTATGAACCAACATTGAGAGTTCAGTTCAGCAAGGTGTGACATGGAACATGTACTTATGATTTATTCATGGCTTACCAGTGATTGATATCCATGGTGCAGTCCAGACAAAGGGTTTGTGTTAATTTCATGTAATTAGTTCAATTTAGATATTGACAGTGTTGTTTACATTTGCATTAGGTGTATGATATTGCATTTAGCCGTGCTGGTGGAGGACGAGACATGTTTGCCTCAGTGGGAGCTGATGGTTCTGTCAGGATGTTTGATCTGCGGTAAAATGAATACTTGTTCTCAATAAAGTACATTAATTTGAACTGCCATGTAAATTCACCTTTCAAGTCATGTGCGGTACATACTGTAGTTTCTTGATTAAAAGCCCTAGGCGTTTATTTTAAACTTGACTCAAAGATCAGGTGTTTATTGACTTTTGTAGTTTATTCAAGCCTGGAGTTTATTAGAGTTTTTATTCATCATTTGTAGAGTTTAAAAATATCTTCTAATTATACCTAAAGCTTACTGTAACTGGAATATAAATTCCTTGAGGGTCTTATTTATGAATCTATGTGGGGGGACTGGCATTTATTCAAGACCCGGCGTTTAATCGAGAAAATATGGTATAACACCTATGTTAGTGAAACTTATTGTCAGATGTGTAACACGCACATGTATGTAATCCTCAGAAATCATTAATAGACATATGCAGTACATGAATGGTAAGCCCTGTTTATGTCTGCTNGTAAAACGAGCTCTCGACAACCAGTCTGTAGTCTTTACTCATTAAAGACTACAGACTGGTAGTCGAAAGCTCGTTTTAAACAAATTTTTAACCAGAGATCGTTTTTCTAGTTTTCCAAATGTCTTATGCTGGTTACTCATCTATTTTTAAACACTATCATTGACCAGCATTTGATTACATGTACAGTTTACAGTGTACGTGTAAGTGCGTGCATTGACGAGTCATCGCTAGAAGTGGAGCAAACTTTGTTAACTTGAAATTAAATCCTTCTCTTTCTCAATGGCTAGTCCAGCTGAGATGACTCAAAACTTCCCAGTGTTTTCGTCCAGACCCTATTGAGGCCCTATTTACCAGTTAGTCAGGGAACTACATGTACTGTAGGTAGAATTGATGAAAGTGATAATTTTCGTCAAGCTAATTAACAAAGAGACTACAAGCCCGTGTTTTCTATGAGCGAATAATCAACGAGAGGTAGCCAAGTATATGCAGCCGAAAATGAGGGCAAGTAATCTAATTGTTTAGGGGTCACTTAAGGGTTATAGCACAAAACCTACAGATTTTGTGTATTTTTAAGACTAAAATTAAGAACAATGTTCAGTTTTAAAAGCAACGCGCACGATCGTTGTCTACAGTGAATAGAACACGATAAGAAAACCAATCATATTTGTGGATTTCCAATAGAACACAGCTGATTGGCTACTAACAAGGGATAGTCTAGCGTCCCAGCCAGTTGAAGCCTGTAATTTCCAGCTGCGTGAGCCAGCAGGCTAAAAGGATTTGTTTACTAGGTGATTTATTGACTCTACCTTCTCTGATAGGTGACGATCACCAAGCATTGATCTGGGACATACAGCAAATGCCACGCGCCATAGAAGATCCCATTCTAGCCTACACAGCAGATGGAGAAATCAATCAAATCCAGTGGGCCAGCACTCAGCCGGACTGGATCGGCATCTGCTACAACACCAGTCTGGAGATATTAAGAGTATAGCAATGAATCTTATATGAAAGTAAACGTTATATATTTAACATGTACTTAAACAAGTTTTAGGAGGCTAAATTATTTTGCGTGGCTAGCTTTTGTTTATTCAGGAACATGATCGGAAGGGTGCCAGGGTAGATTGTTTCATTTTGTCCCGTTTCGGCCCATTTTAGGGACAAGATCTTATGTTTTGAATGAGGACACTAGTACATATGCACTGTACCTGCATATGTCATCTGAATCTTAGGGATTGAGAGGTTTATAAGTTCGCATTTTCCTCGGTATAATTTCATGACGCCTTTTTTATTCTTATTTATTTCGTTTGGACAACTTTTGCACTGCAGTATGTTGTCTTGTAGGTCATTTGTTCATTGCCATTTGTATATAGTTGCGCTACATGTATATTATTTTGCAACGTTTTTTTTATGCTAGAGAAATTTTTTTCGTGTATTGCTGATTTTACTTCTCTTTGCGTTAGTTGTCAATACTCGCAAATGACATACACGTACATGTACATGTAAATGACAAGAAACGCGCTAGCACTCTCTATCCTAAACTGGTCCTTTTATGTTGAGCTTCGGCGGCATATTGGTCGAGACATGATTCATAACTTTTATTCACTGTGCAATGAATGACTTGTTTGTACAGCTGAACGTGTCCTCGTTTATTGGATTTAGCAGATTTCTTGTTGTTGTACTCTAATGTACCATGATCTGTGATCTTGGTTCATTGATTCTGGTCCATATCATCCCAGAGAAATGACCAGATGTAGATGTACACTGTAGGTTAAAGAATGTCAGACTGGTGGCAAAATTACATGCACGTAGAACGTTTGAACTGTCTCAGGCATTACATACGTTCGTAGGTTAGCGTAAGATTCTTAAGGGTTGGTGCTTCGAGACCTGAGCACTGTATAAGACGTTGAGCAGATGAGCAGCATTAATTAGTTTGCGACGCTTAATCGCTAATCAAACATTTCCCCCGCGCATTAATTTTGAATTATTGATCCTGGTCCTTTATTCCTTTTGTTTTGTCAGCTGTGATTCCGTTTGCCGCGCCATAATCTCTACTCCAAGCACAAGGTGAATTCTTAACATAGGACGGCTTAGGCCGTGTTCACACCTGGTCCCCGAGCACTGGTGCCCGGGCTCCGGCACAAAATAGTCCTGCGTTCAGACACTGATTACTCGAAAGACCCAAGTACCATTTAGGGCCCGATTACGAGGACGGNGGTTTTTTTTTTTTGCGATGATTCCGATAAAGGTCAGTGGATTCAAGGTCTCTCGAATCAAAGAAATGATTGGATCCTCGCCAAGAGCACTCTGATGTACTGTGATCTGAGTGATCTTGGATCATTGATTCTGGTCCAGATCATCCCAAAGAAATGAGCAGATGTAGATGTACACTGTAGGTTAAAGAATGTCAGACTGGTGGCAAAGTTGCATGCACGTAGAACGTTGGAATTGTCTCAGGCATTACATACGTTCGTAGGTTAGCGTAAGATTCTTACGGCGGCTTTAATATCCTGAGACCAACTTCTGCTGGAGAGTGGGGGTATGTCTTCATCTGTTCTCATTCTTGGTGCTTCAAGACCTGAGCACTGTATAAGACGTTGAGCAGATGAGCAGCATATATTAGTTTGCGACGCTTAATCGCTAATCAAACATTTCCCCCGCGCATTAATTTTGAATTATTGATCCTGGTCCTTTATTCCTTTTGTTTTGTCAGCTGTGATTCCGTTTGCCGCGCCATAATCTCTACTCCAAGCACAAGGTGAATTCTTAACATAGGACGGCTTAGGCTGTGTTCACACCTGGTCCCCGAGCACTGGTGCCCGGGCTCCGGCACAAAATAGTCCTGCGTTCAGACACTGATTACTCGAAAGACCCAAGTACCATTTAGGGCCCGATTACGAGGACGGGATCTTGTACCCGGCCACGGGCACTACGCCCGGATACTGGTGTGAGCACTTGGAAAAAAGGTGTGTTCACATCAGTGCTTTGCGAGAATCACACTCTGGCACCGTGCTCGGGCACCAAGTGTTAAACTCAATCCACAGTTAAAGTGAATCTTGGCTCAAAAGCAGTCACCTAATGGTTATCTGTAACTGCTCCCGGGGTTTTACGTTGATATCTCTGTAAGTGGTTCGAATACGAAGCGTTTGGTTTTCAGTTTAAATCACCTGGGCGTCGCCATGTTTATTTTATGGTAATGCGCGGTCCAAGGTTTCATTAATGAGTGTACTTTTTCGTTTGAACTGGACACGCTCATCCGAAATATGAATTATAAATGATTAGATGCACAAGGCACAATACTGCTGTTTACGCAATGCTGTATTTTAAAACGTCCAACCCTGTAGTGACGTCATAATATCTCATCAAGCTTTGGAAAAATGAACATGGCGACGCGCGGGAAATTAACCCGCGCAGGTAAGCGGGAAATTTGAAGTACTAAAACAGCAGAAGCGAAACGCCCAGCACTCAGAAAAAGCGAAGAATTATCGACTTCAAATCGCTGAAAAAATGAAACACCGACACGAACACCGACGTGTGATTTGGTACAAAACTGATTTTTAGCCAAGATTCCATTATTTAACACTTGTAATGTGTAGGAGCCAATCAAGCAACTAGGTTGGTTCCATGATAAGAGATCTATGGTATTCCTCTTTAAACGGGTTCCGTTGAACCCACTCGTTTATTTATTGTGCAAATAACGGCGAAGGAATAATTGCAGTGAAGTTTGTCTTTAAACTTACTAACAGCCAATCCAAGGTGGTGTACAAACCCATCTCATTTGTTCCCCTACGTAGACGCAGGGTTCATCGCCGCAAGCCGGGACTATTTTTCTTTCTTCGTGCACATATTACGAAACTTTCAGATCTTGGTATCTTTTAAACCTGGGCCAAACAAGACGAGTTTCGCACTCTCGCTCACGAAAATCTCCTTTTTAAGAGTTGCTCAAGACCGGAGTGTTCTCTCGGTTGGACTGCAAATTATTTATGCAGGATCCCACTGAAGAGCACCTTGTAGTGAAGTGGGCTCCCCGTTTAAATATTTGAATTATTAGTATTATAAGAATTGAAGAAAGTTTCTGAAGCATCTCTATCATTCGCCTCTCCGCGACTCGTTCCTGTTTGGCCCGGGCTTAAAGGAGCTTTGTCACAGTATTTCGAGTCGTTTTGGCTACGAACAGAGTGACGTTTATGTTGAAGGAAACCTGAAAATAGTAGTTTACTAAGACAGAAAAGCACCCAAGAGATAATAATAAACCATAAGGGTACAAGGATGGTTAAGGATGGAGAAGATTAACGCGGATTACAAACGACGAACTTGAAAAATTTAGGCTTAACTTTTCAAGATGCGCGAACCGTTACGTAGCTCCTTTAAGACTTTGAGACGTTGCTCGTATTGTTAGTAAGGCAGAAATTTCAACTTTGTCATGTTAAGGAAATCATGCGTTCAGTCTGGCAGAGTAGTTTATTGTAGAGGAAAGTATACTGTAGCATGTCTTGCGAGTTGCATTATGTTAGTGACTTTATCCTTTGTAGAAAGTCTTGATTATCTGCGGCCAAAAATATCGAGCTCTGCAATTTTTGCAACATGATCCTCAGCAATATTGGCTCTTTTGTGGCCCAAATCTATTCGCTTTGAATACGCTTTGATGCTTCCAATTTCCTGTCTGTAAGCTTTAGCTTCGCCCACAAAATGTATGTAGAGATTTATTGTAAATAAACGTTAGAAAACGCGGATTTCAAGTCACATCTGCCTTCCTTACATATTGTAAGCTTTATCATTTACTAGCCGCTCTTGTAACATCTTGTACATTGTTGAGTTATTTAGCTGGTAAGTTGTAATAGACTCGTCCTCACACGCCTGTGGAATGATTGAGTTTCTTTATACCCGTATAATAGGCCATTTCCGAGTTGGCTTGGGCCACTGTGCCAAAACCAGTCTTCGTGCGGAAGCATTCATATGGAAACGAGTTCAGCCTACAGGTTCATTTTCATGCAAATCAAACTTCATAAAAAAGGTTTGCTCGTTTTGAAACAGAGGCACAAGGCAACTCGAAAATGGCCTATTAACGTCCTCATTCGTTAAGGGAGACGGCCTTGGACGAGTTAAGTTGTATAATAATTTGTGTTAATAATCGCTAGCCCTGTCTTTATTGTGACTACTGTAGATACGCAAGAACAAGTAAAAATAAAGTTACTTAAAGCTAAGATTCATCAGCGGAGTCTCCTCAGTGTGTTTACTTGTGCAATGTCAGCATTACTGGACTTCCACCCCAGTTCCTCAACCGAGACCACTTTACGTCAGCAGAGCTGACTCTCCCTCTTCGCCGGCGGACCATTATTTTTTGAGGGGGTCGGGGGCTGGGCAATTTCCGAAAAAGAGAGAAATTCCCGCATAGCAAAAACTGCTGAAAACAAAATCGGGCAAGGGGAGGCTTGAGAAAAAAATTGAGCAAGTGATTTCTACTATTCAGGTCCTATTTTTGATATTTAAAAAATAAAAAATAATAAAAATTGCACAAGCTATTGCCCACCCAAAAAGATACGCACAACCGTAGGGTGAGAAAAAATTGTCATGCCCCAGAAAATTGCCCAACACCCCCTCCACCTCCCCCTCCCTCCTCGTCAAAAAATAATCGTCCGTCCCTTAGTGAGAATCGTAGTCAATTCGTGAATCTCTAGAGTCACGTTTTTCCCGCTTCATTCATACAGGCGTGCCCGTGAATACACTGGCACACTGCCTCACATCACAACAATTGTTCATTTTAATTCCGAGCAGGTCTAGCCAATGAAATTCCTTGCGCAAAGTGACAACGAATATACCACCCGCAACAAGCCAAAGATGGTAGAAGAAAGTTGCGCTTGATAGTTGCTTTCTATAAATAAATAATAGTGATAGATCTGTTTTTGTAAACAATCCTACAAGAGCGTAAGAACATTAATGTCAATTCGCAAAGAAAGTATTTTCATTTGGCTTACTGGACAAGTTTAAAGAAAATGTTACTTGAATTTTATTCTTTTGTGACGATTTGCTGATGGAAATCGCTCTCTGGAAGTCGTCTGCTCTGTGGAAATCGTCTTTCTTTGGAAGTTGTTGGCTAATTAAGCTGAATGATCACGGTTCGGGGTGTGTTTAAAACGCCCAGCAGAAGTAGTTAAAGGAGAAGCTTATATCAAGCGCGAGAGCTAAGAGGGGAGAAAATTTGAAGGTTTTCAGAAGTTCTTCTAAAAGAAATGGCGGCGAAAGGCAATTGAAGCTTCATCAGCTAGCTTGATAGTTTTGTATGACGAAAGCTCTGGTGCTAAGGATATCTAGTAATGCTTTAGCTGTAGGAGATTTTTGAAGAAGACGCAAACAAAACGAATCACAAAGGAACGGCTATAAATAGTGTCTAACCCCCATATAGTGTTTGCCCTCGTACAGAGGAGCGTCTTGTATACGTATTGAGATCGTTTGCATAAAACTATATCAAGAAATGTCTAAAACAGTTCGATTTGCGGGCCAAACAACTGGAGATTACGCCGAAGCTGTAGCAACTGAGATACTGCAAGAAAGACAACAGCGCAAATTCAGAAATGAGAAAACTGGAAAAGGGAAAGGCAAAAAGCGAAGACGCAGAGGTCCTGAACCAGTAGCTGTAAATAGTTCAAGATTTGCTGGAGTAAACAAAGGGTTACTGGCCGAATTCATAATTTTTTTACTGCTTCAAGGATTTGACTTATTTAGTAACAGTTGGGTCTTAAACGAGTCACTCGGAATTCTTAGCAGAGTGGAAGAGTATGAAAACTACCCCAATGTTTCGGCCATAAACAATTCCGTTCCGAGTTTGTGCGTGAGGGTGCAGTGGTCCAAAGAGGAGATTACCAAACAGGTGGATCATTTCTCGTCTGTGATATACGTTTACTGTTTCTTTCTCGCCCTTTCATCGTGCATCTTTACCTTACATCTACTGGCTTGGTTATACACGCTTCAGCTTTCACTCAGAAGTCGACGATTTAACGCGAACACCCAAGAGGCTCTGATCAAAATGAAGGTGTACTTTCTTATCGCTGCCAGTATCCTGCAGGACATTCCACTGTCTGCGATCTCTGCAGAACTCTTCTCTTTGCAACAAGGCCAGGAGGGCTTGGTGTGTTGGTATTGTAAAGTGTCCGGTCTTTGCAAGGAACAGGAACAGCTTGCAAGTAGGTTAAGTCGAAGCACAACCGCTGTGTGGCTGAATTTCGCTGCTATCGGTCTCACGTCCCTTTGGAAAGGCATCTCGAGCTTTTACAGGTGGAGTCGAGTTGACGCTTGTGAAGCGTTCTATTTCAGAGCATGTACAGCGGTGTTTGCTGGCTTTCTGTACTCCATCGTCATACTGACCCCCGCCATGACAGTGCTGAGGTACCGTTACTTCGTGAGGCCGGGTGTAACTGGTGGATTGCTGAAAGACGCCATTGATCGAGTTTACGTCATCGGTGCCATATTCTGGGTTTTGGTTCTCCTGGTCATCTTTTGTTGTCCCTTGTTGAATCTTATCAGAGTAGCCCAGTAACTATGGAGGCATATCCACGACAAAATTCAATTCTCGGACATCGATCCAAGCGAAATGGCATCAAGCTAATTCTGCGAACAGTCATAACGCAGATAGGCATAACGCTAAGAGTCATAACGCAGAAAGGCATAGCGCGAATAGGCATAACGAAAAAAGGCATAACGCGAAAAGGCAAAAGGCAAAGACGCATAACCTAAGTAGGCATAACACAAAAGCCATAACGCAAAGAGACAAAGTTAGTAGTCATAACGCAAGTAGGTATAACGCAAGTAAGCATAGATTACCTCTATAAATAACAAGCAACAGAGGTTTAAAGTTTTCAGGTTACAGTACACAAGAAATGATTATTCGCGAAATCTGTCTAAGTGAAACAAAATAAATAAATTATTGATTAATGAATAGGAATTTCCAGTGGCACATCCTAGGGAGAGGCCACTCACCCACTGTTTCCAGATCGCATTGGAATTTAGAAGTGTTGGTTCACGTTTCCGTTAATTATTGATTATTTTGAAATAGAAACTACCCTCCATGCATTTTTAGAATCTGATTGGCTCTCTCATCGTTTTCTCTTTAATAAATAGATTCCATGTTACTGTGCGTCTGTTCAGTAATAGATCGATGTAGTAGGAACAAAAAAGTGGCACACGAGGCGATAACCGAGTGTGTCACTGATGTTCTTACAACATTTTGACGTCTTCTGTGATCTATTACTGAACAGACGCACGGCAACTTGAAATCTATTTGTTTTATAAGATAAAGAAACCAAAACATGTTGATGATGTACACGTCTGTCCTCCAATAAATCATAAGTAAGAACCAATCAAAACGTGAGAATTATTTAACTTATTATATAATCGAGGATAAACGACGATCTCACAATCACTGCTCTTGAAAAAGAAAATTAATCTTGGTTTTAAACCTTTAAAGTACACAAAATTGTATGTATTGCGTTGTAATCCCTTTAAGTGTCAACTAAAACAATTACGCTACTCGCCTTCATTTTCTATGAGCGGAAGTCAATTCGCTACGGCTCGTTGATTATTCTCTCACGTAAAACACTGAGAAAATTACTTCGCTTTGATTGGCGGAGAACAGGCCGATTTATTGTGGTTTTTTTCCAACTGGGAGAGCTTGGGAGGATGAGAGCATCCTCTTATGAGGTACTGTATGAATGCAAGTGCAATTAGTAAAAGGCATCTCAAAATTCTCTCATTCTGCAACCCTTTAGGCGAATGTAATTTAAAATAATTTAACTCAATCTAACTTCTCATTTATAACATGACTTTAGAAATTACGAATGTGCGCGCATTAATTTGCATTGCAGTGCAAATGAAAACTTCACCATAAATCGGCCTGTTCTCAGCCAGTCAAAGCGAAGTAATTTTCTCAGTCATATGATATGCGCAATAAAATATGTACACGATTTTGAGTGCAATCTTCGTGTGACCTCCAGTAATCTTCGGATGGCTTCGGAACTTTTTGGAAGAATTTTGGTGATCTTCGAAAGTGTTCAAAACGCGCACGCGTCTAGTTATCTTCGGCTGTCTTGGGGAAACCTCGGACGTGTTTCGATCATCTTCGAAATGGTCGATAGCCTTTAGCTTACAGTGGCCTCGTACTAACTTTGGAAATCGTTGCAATTTGTGTACCAAAATTTTGTACTGCATGCATATGCTGTTACACGTTTTGCCCTGGTGTAACACATAAAATGCACTGCTCTTAGCCAATCAGAATCGAGTACCTTTTTCATGTGCTTTATTATATCTAAAAATCTTTTAAGTGATCCAAGTCTAGTTAAAAGACCCGGCTCTCCTCATTGATTTGTCGTTATGGTTTTGGCCAGTTAGAGAGTACATGTAAGACACATCCGGACGAATAAACGTATACCTTCGAATTTTAAGGAAACACGCGAATAGTGCGTGCAGATGAGCGATTCGGAAAATGCAGAAAAATCCGAGCAAGTACATGTAGCTGAAGAAGCGTTTCATTACCATGAAGGAGAAATCGATGTAAAACGACTGAAAAAACGTGACGGAAAGAAAGGAGCTTTATCAACCAACAAATGGATATTCTGTCCGTGCGCAGACTAAATTGACACGTTTGCCTCGTTCGTGTGTGTCTTCCACAAAAGAATGAGCTGTATCGCAGGCTCAGATGCAATAAGAGCTTATCCAGTTCTAAAATTCAGTTTTGGCAAAAACTAAGCCAACAGTAATTGAGATGATGTCGTTACATTATTGGTGATTAAGACTGAAAGCCATATCAATATACTCAATTCTGAGACATGAAAAATAAGTTTATATTAAAGTGACTTGGCCGGCCGTTCAACTCTGTCCACTTTCCAGCTCCATTAAATGAGGCCTTCAAAGTTAAAAGATCTTCTCTAGAAGCAGACGAAACGTCTATTTGTGAAAAAAACCTTCATGAAAGAAAGACAGACAGACATAGAACATATAAACAACTACAGTCTGTTTGTCATGTAACAAACGCTCTTCTCGATATTAGCGACATACATTTGTGAGGAAGGAAAGTTAATTTGCAGCTCAGTGCATGGAGGGTTTGGGCTTAGATAAGATTCCACAGCAGGTAAACGAATTGAAGATGTTAAATTATGAAGAAATCCCGTTGCTGGTGCCGCATGAATTATATATAATGTATATTTCATAATTTCAATTAGTATATGATTCGAACTACACACTGG